TCAAAGATTTTAGCTTTGGTCACCTAGGTCGCAGTGGAGCAACCCACCACCATAAAAGTTCAAAACATCTCTTCTGCAATTTAACATGAGAGGTTGGTTTGGTAAATCCCAAACTAATGGAACTTCTGCATCATTTTCCTTTTTTTTGAAGTGCATGAGACAATGCTTATAAAAGATTTTATCTCATCATTTTGCTATGAATTAGGAAGCTTGGAGAATATCTGAAGAAAAAGATTGGAGAATAATACAAAGGGTCAAAGGACATGTTCTTAGAAGCGCCAAATATCGAGCTCTCTTTGTATCTACAATGATTGTTGTTGCAGCGATTGATCTAAGAAATTGTAGCCGCATCTTGAGAAACCATGCTTGAGAGTTTTGTCTGTGAACCAAATGTCTAGAAGCTTTGAGGTCTTTTCAATGACTTGCGTTTACTCTTTGGTGAATGTGCCGCATTGATGATGGTTACTGTTTCAATACAAGGTATGATTGGCTGTCTTTCTCTTCTTCTACTTCTACTTCTAATCCCTTTTACTTTTCTTTTTCGGTACTTAAATAATACACTTACTCGGGCAAGTGATTCTTGGGTAGAAATTGTGCGAGTAACTTTGGTGTTAGTGTTTTTACACACTTTTACTTTTACTTATTTGGACAAAGAAAGAGGTAAGAGAGGATAATTATTTTGGCAGGTGGATAAGCAACTTACCCACCCTCCAGGAGATTATTAAAAAATTTGTTTTGTAGTACCCATTACATAGCAGTGTGAGAACGCAAAGATGTTGATCAATTTACCTCTTGCAAGATATCGGTAAACGAATGTGGCCTTGTGTCTCTTGCCTCTGTTTTCTTAGAGGGTAATGACTGCATAAATATCACCACTTCCATGGTTTAAAGCTATAGTATGTTCTAGTTCCCACTAGGGCCACTACCATGTTTTATAGAGAAACTCTATATCAACACCTCGATTGGGTTTCTTCCAAGGAAAATGTGATTTTCATACATGTGAAGTGAATATGATTTTTATGCCAAATGTCATAAAAATGATTTGACACTTTTGACACAAAAAAATGATTTGGGCACACCGCATCTCAACTATTCAATTGGATATGGGTACACCATGGGTGATCTAATTTGATATGGTCACACAACATTTTGCATCCAATTATGTGCATGGGATAGTGATGAAAACATCATTATTTGGGTAGGGCTACAAACGGATCATTGGTAAATCCAAATTTGGTTCTTGATATCATCTACTCCCTCCTAGTTTAGATAATAAAGGGTCTATTAATTAACACTTAAGGCTTAGTTTGGAAAGAGTATAAATGTAAAATACAGTGCAAATACATACAAAATATAAGGCTTTGCACTCTACATATTTGCATTTGTACTCCTTCCAAATAGGGGTGGTCACGAGCCGAGCTTCTCACGAGCTATTCGAGCTCAGCTCGTGAAAAGCTCGGCTCAATTTAGTTTAAATTGAGTTTCGAGCCGAGCTCGAGCCTGATATATACATACATACATATATACATACATATATATACACACACATAAATATATAAATATATATAATAAATAATTTTTATTATATAATAATATTTTTATTTTTTATGTATAATAGTAAATCATTTTTATAATTCTTATTTTTTTGTATGTAAAATAAAACATTTTTATATGATATTTTTATTTTTATATGTAATAATAAATAATTTTTATAATATATAGAGAAAAACTTGGCTTGTAGTCAAGCTCGAACTTGCAAGCTTTGGACCGAGCTGAGCTCAAGCCCAAGTCTCTAACTCGAATTGACCTTAAATTTGAGCTCGAGCCTAACACAATTTTAGTGAACCAAGTTCAAATAACCAAATATTCGACTCGACTCAGCTCAAATCCACCCCTTCCAAACTGAGCTAAATTATTTTTGTGTAAGATCGCCCCTCGAAAACTTTGCATATCATCGATGGTGTAAACGAGTGGGCAATTATGAAATTGCTCATTTATTGTCCATGTCTGCAAGTAACCAAGATTTCCACCAAACCGAGTGATTAAAGTAACTTCTTTAAAAAGCTATAAAATACAACCACGTAAATTGAAATATTAAACAATATCTAAAATTTAGTCCAAGCTTACTATAGGATTTCATCTAATCTAGACCCTCCAAATGATGTTCCCGATCTTTTCAAAATCTAGACCAGAAAAATGGTCTCTTAAGATAGATGATTAATCTCAACCGTCAGAGATTCCAATTAATATTCTCAGCTATACAAGTGATCACATAATCTGTTAAAAATCTAAGATACGTAAAGTAATACTATGTGCCAAATAAAAACCCAAGATTTGGACCATCAAAAGGCCTCCTAAGGCCTCTTAGAGTCAATTAATGAATCTCTCAACCATCCAAATAGTGTATCAAAATTTCATTTCATCAAGCCCATCTAAATTAAATGATGTATCAACATTTCATCTAATCTAGCCCATCCAAATCAGCATCATCATCATCGTAATCTTTTATGCTTTATTTCAATTATATGGGGTTGATTACATGAATTCTGTTTCACCATTTCCACTCTATTTAATTCCATATCCATGGTTAAATACAAACCCTCTTAGGTCATAATTGTTTCTAATAAAGCCCATTATTATTCTCCCTAATAAGATCATTCCCCCTCTCTTTCTCTTTAATAGTCGATATTTGTAACATTTTCCTTCACCATTGAATTCCTTATTTCTTTTAATATCTTTGAACCCCTTTTAATCCTTATTACCAAAGTGGGATATAAATTTAATGGATTGGGTCGGGTAAAGGGTTGACCCAAGGCCAACCCACATGGACCTTGATGTCAAAAACCCAAATTTGCCAACACAACTTAACTGAACTTGTATTAAACCCCATGCATTGCATGAGTTTACGTTGAAATTAAATCTGCTTTGCACCTCTACTGCCTACTAGGACTCTTTAAGAGCTCGTGCACCTCATACAAAAAAGTCTACCCACCGTGCCATTGTTGGTTATTTGCCACGTGGTAACATTATAAAAAGTCTAATAATTGAAAATGGATTTCGTAAAGGAGTTTGAAAAGCGCCTTGCGTGTAGCCATAGGCCCATAGCTTATGAGGCAGTCCAAAAGATAAAGACGCGAGGTTGTTGTAACAGCCAGCTTGCCATGATGTAAGTCACTTTCAGTCTTTCACGGTTTCACCTTTTAGACTTTCTGCTGGGCCAGACACTTGGATTGGACTGAAAAAGCCCACTTTAGTCCAACAAAACTCTAATGTTAAATGGGCTGACGTAATTATGCTATTTTGGGTCCATGGGGCCAAACAGCGGGGTAATCCATCCTCATGCCCCCATATCCTTTAGCCCACAACCCTGGTGGCAGCGGCATTTCATCCCAATTCCCAAGTGTCAGTTACAGGTTACAACTTACAATCAGCCAAAGACCCTACCACCCGAGCCACCATAATTCGGTTCTAAGTTTTAACATAAGTACACTTAAAAAAGGTATTCATTATATGGTCCAGACTATCAAACCTAATCAAACATCTAGACATGAAAACCGTTTGGTTCTTTACAAATTTGGTTTTACGGTTTTGGTTCGGTTTCTTGAATTTTTGAAACCAAACCAAACCCAACCAAAACATACATACATAATGAATTATATTAATATATAATATATAGTAAAATAAACTCTCAAAACTATATTTGGTTATGAAAGGAATTGACCTTAGGGTCTTAAAAATATATAGTTCTAATCAAATTTAATGCTTATATAGACTATTTGTGTTATTTATGGAAACATATACATTGCTTGGGCTTTTCTAATTGTGTTAAGTCCAATAAAATGACCCAAATTCTATTAAAATTGCATCAAACTATAATAAAACGATTTGTGTTAATTTGATATCTATTTAATCTAAAACATTCTTCAACCGTGTGTTTTATTAATTTACTTCACAAGAATAAGGTTTTGGAATGGGAATTGTGGAATCTCAAATTATTTAATTAATATTTGATAGAATCAAAATCTTATTCTCGTTCCTGATGGAATGGCATCCCTCCATTTGAGGGAATGATCATTCCTTCCCCACCCTTAAAAATGAAATTCCAAGTTATATTTGAACCAAATAGCAATAAATCATTCCAAAAATTTCAATTCACATTCTGATTTCGATTCCGACTATAAACCAAATAGACCCTAATATATTCTGCAAAACTACACTGAACCGGAGCTCAGTCCTCTCAGCTGTTGCTTGATCGGGTCAAGGATCCGACGATCTGGTCCCCTCTACCCAGGCACCCACGTCATCTTTTCCAGCAACTTCTAGGAACCGACAAGCTAATAGCTATCGGCCGCCCGCCTTTGCTTTAATGTGAGTGTGCTTTTGTAAGGCTTGCATCTCAGTACGGACAAACAAGCAAAGAAGGAAGAGCCTTATCCATATCTTCTGAAAAACCGGGTCTAATGGAATCCTGAGAATATTCTAGAAATCCATGGATAGTCGCGCACTGTGCACGATTCATACTCACCCCCATCGACAACATCCAATTTGCCACGTGGATCAAGAGTAAACTCCCGCCGTCCACCTCATCATCCTAATCTCCTTGGTCAAACGGTCAACTCATAATAACTTACTGCCGTCACACAACATACATCCCAAAACCCGACAGCGAGTCTCAATCACCGCTCTCGTAGTCGCTTTTGCGGTCGCCTGCACGTGTGACCACTGTGAGCAATCCGGCGTTTTGCTCGCCCAAATTACCGCTATACCCTTTAACTCCACATGTCAATCGCATAAGACATGCGTCGCAACAACTGTAAAAGCGACTGACTCGTTGGAGATTGATTGGGGGGAGCGCCGAGTTTGCTAACATACGCCGTAGATAACGGCGCATGGTATCACCAAGTAGGGACAGGGTCACCGACATGGGAGGACGCAAGAGGCCAAAACAGGGGCCAGAGCTTAAACAAAGCTTTGCTATATATAACAGGCTCTCCCCCTGCCCACCCCCCCATACGCTATTTATTAATGGCGTTCTCTTGGGCTTTAAGTAAACAATGGACGACGTGAAATCGAAGGAAGGGAACGCACAGTGGTAAAGAGGAAGAACTAAAGAAGGGTTCCTGGTTTCTGGAGTTTCTGCTTTCGATTTCACTCAAATGCTCTACACCCAAAATCCGAACCAGAGACAAACATACAAGGATCCCAATATGGTGGAGATGGTAACTCGGTACCACATCCATGATCTCTCGCCCAACCAGTGTAGCTCCAGCCTCGTTCAAACCATCGACGCGCCTCTGCCTCTTGTGTGGTCCGTGGTTCGTCGCTTCGACAACCCACAAGCCTACAAGCGGTTCGTGAGGAGTTGCTCTTTGCTGTATGGCGATGGTGGCATCGGTAGCCTGCGGGAGGTGCAGGTGGTGTCGGGCCTCCCGGCAGGGACCAGCATGGAGCGGCTGGATGCGCTGGATGATGAGTCGCATGTCATGGGTTTTAGCATTGTGGGTGGCGACCATCGGCTCAGCAATTATCGGTCGATCATGAGTCTTCACGATAACGGAGAAGGTGGTGGTGGGAAGACGGTGGTGGTGGAGTCTTATGTGGTTGATGTGCCGCCGGGGAGTACCAAGGAGGATACTTGCTTGTTCGCCGATACGATTGTAAAGTGCAACCACAGGTCGTTGGCTAGGATTGCAGAGAAAATGGCTTCACCATAGATGTGTAATTTGTTGTATAATATGAACATGGATATAGATTACTGACTAACACTAGTAGGCTTTAGTGTTTGGTTTGATCGTATGAGATTGTTAACTTAGAAAGTTAGAATCTTTTCCACTTGTATTTCTGTTGAGCATCGTCTCCTATTTCCTCCTTGTAAAGAAGGCAAATATTAATGAATTACCTGAGTTTCTGAGACTAGAAAGATGAGAAAGTATGAGATTTCTGATTTCCGCAGAAATTTTCTCTTAATTGAGTAGAAAAAAAGATGGGACAATCATGGAAACTCGTTCTTCTTCTGCAAGTTCTGTTTCTTCGAGTTGGGAAAATATGAGCATTCACATTACACCAGAACCAGAGTTGGGAAAACAAGGAAGATGGAGACCCATCATTGAACGGACCCACCTGAGTGCCGTCGCCCCATGCCAATAAAGTCAGCATACATCCCTCTTCCCGAATCCTGCTGCTGAGTTTCATTTGGACAGTATAAAAATTATTGAAGAACCGAAAGAGAGATCGCCCAGAGGATACAGATCACTTAAGACTCCTCGATCAGCACATCGGAAATGCAAAGGATAGAGATCGAACGGCAAAAGTCATCCAAATCTTAAATTGGACAGAAAGCTTGAAATCACTCAAGCTGTTTGTTAATTGTTGCAGAGGTCAAAAATTTTGTACATTTTTAGATTTTAGTTAGCGAGGATCTCCAGATACTAATATTCAAATCAAACGTCAAGTTGTGGTTTCAGAAACTGAAACTATAAGGAGATGAATGGAATAACGTTCTCTCAGTTTCAAATGCCCTGCTATTTTGGTTAGGTTTCAGCTTTGCCACAAAGAATGGTTTTTCTTCATACACGTTTGTACAAATCTAAAAGTCATAACCACGCCTTTTGTATGTTTCGTGTTTTCTCATTTATGGGTCTTAGGCTCTTTTGGCTACATTGCCTTGTACCACCTGTTCATGTTTATCCCAACTCCTTTTTCGTATACTCTCATTTGATAAGAGTTTCTTATATTAGAAGTTAATTAAAGCCAAAACACTTTTAAGCCTGCCATACAAATGCCTAAGAGCCCGTTTGGGAGGGATTCTGCTTTTGGGGTGTGTTGTGTTATTTGAGTTGAGGTGATTGAGCAGGAGAAAGAGCAGTGGTTTGGGTGTTTGGAAAACCCATTTCATGTTGGCTTTATGGAAACATAGCTTCAGCTATGTTGTAATTGTAAACCCTCAGCTTGGAACAACAGAAGCTGTCCCAACGGGCATTAATCGATTTATGAGGATTCACCCAAACAGCCCATAAGCTATGTTTGGTGAAAATACAAAAAAGCCTAAAATAGCCGTCTTTCAGTTAAAATAGTAGCTTGCTTAAGCTTTTTTAATGGGTTTTCCAAAAGCAGCTCAGCCCTCCGAATTGGGGTTTTGCGCTTGTGAGCTTTAAAATCACAAATCCAAAAGCTTATCCGAACTTTTAACCTTATCTAATGGAAATCGGCAACTGATTTCCTTCCTGCATTCCACATTATGAAAATGCACTTAAAATGTAAATTGCACGTGTTATTTATTTTGTTTTTTTTTTTTTTTTCCATTTCTTATCTATTCAAATTTAATTTCTATCTTTTGCTTCCACCTTTAGTAGTAGTCGTTCTCCAATGAGCATATCTTTCTCACTCAGGTGTGAAAATAGCAAAAAAGAGTTCGTATTTTTTGCTGTTTGTTGTGTGAGTTTTCAAATTTCAAACCAACTAGCGATAAACATGCCAGATATTACCAATAGTATGTTCATTGAATCATCACTTTATTATTAGTGGATGAAACTTCCAAGGCACACAATAGAGGTGGGGATTACCAAATTTGGAGGAAAACAGAGGAGAGAGAGATACATGGATCGGGTTCGATGGGTTAGGCACCTGGCTCTCCTGATTTTAATCCGAATCCCATTTCTCCAAACCCATCAAAACCCAAGTTAACTTCTGTTATGAATTCTCTTTCTGGCTCAGCTTTTAGGTTGAAACAGAAAACATGATCCGTGTGTCCGCATTGGGACCCACCATTTTTGTGATGTATGGATTAAGGATGGCAATATCTCTCGTAAAATTGGGTCCCCGCCCCGCACGCTCCAATGGAGCGGTTTTCTCCGACCATAAACAAAGATAGGGCGGGGTGGGTTTTGTATATAATTCTCTGAATTCATTCTGAATTTGAATTTGAAGGTAAATTAGTAAAATATATATAGGTTTAATATTGATATTTAAAATATCTCTAAGTTTTTCCTAAATTTTTAAAATCCTAGGATCTTATAATTTTATTTTTGAATTATTCTTAAAGTATTATAATTCAATTCTAAAATACTCCCAAATTCCTATATCCTATGTATAAATTGTCCACAAAATAGATATTTTTTAAGTTATACTCTATAATCGAAGTTGAACTGAATAATTACCCTCAAGCGACTTTTGAGTTTTGATTGATCATATCCTGCCTTGTAATGCAGGGCTGCAATTGAACTGAGATTAAATTGAATATTTTGAGTTTGATTAGCCTCAATTCACGTTCAATTCTAATTGCGCTTGAATCTACTGGTAAAAAATCTGACTTGAAAGCTCAAGAGCCTACCTTAATGAATACATACGTATATACATATATTATAGAATACAAAAGTATCTTATAAATTATGATTTCACGATGGATTAGGTTGGGTCGGGGAAGTAAGTGGGTTGGAGAGAGGGTATTGAGCAAAATTGGGTATTGACACATGGGTCGTTATTCAATGAGATGGTAGAGGATATAAATTATGATTTCACGATGGATCGGGTTTTAATTCATGATGGTTATAATGAGTTATCCATGACCGTGACCAAAATATCAATGCATGAAACTTGCTGTGATCTAACTTGCAAAAATAAGCAACAGAAAAAAAATGACCCGAGACATAAGCCCTTGAAGCAAGGTGCAACGAGGGACTAGCTAATCTGAATTGAGCTTTGACCTTTCTTTACACTTTTTCACATAGATCATTTTCATGCATTGTATATAACAAGCACAGTCTCTAATGTTTTCTTGCGCATTTAATGCTAATAGGAACGTTATAAAAAAACCGTTGGTTGACTAGGTCAAAGCTCCTCCGAATTGAAACAAGTGTCTCACTGATCAAGGATCTTGTCCCTTGATCATCCAGTCTATACTAGGCCAAATGGTCCACCATTGACCCAATAAGAGCTAGAATAAATCTGGTTAATATTCCAATAATAATATCTCTATGCAAAAGATATTTGTGCAGAAAACAACCAAAAAAAGAGATTTTTTATAGGAAAATAGATAAATAATAATACAAGGAAAAACTTGGTTGTGTGTGAGGGTGTAGTATAGAGATGATTTATTCTCCATCAACATGTGACTTGTCACATGGCCATTGGATTCTCCAACATGTTGAGGATTAGCAAGTGAAGGCCTAGGACCACTCTTCCAACGGGTTATTGGGTGTTTGCTGTGGACAACTAAATTTCTGAACAAATAAGAAGTATGGTAGTTCATACTAACATAACTCTTGGGTCCGTTTCCTTTTTGGGAAGTTAATTGTCCATGTTCTTTTATTTCTCAGGTAAATAAGAGGCAATTTTGTCCCATTCAAGTGTTGATAGTTTTACCTTTAGGTAAGAAAGTTACTTGAACCAAAATCTCATTGACCAACTTCCCCCCTTTCAAAATCTAAAAAAAAAAGTGATCCCTTGATGACAAAGATGATATGATTGTTTGGAGGCTGAACCCAATTGGTGAATTTAATACCAAATCAACTTGGAACTTGACTAGAACACACTTTCTAACGGTCGGTTGGTTCAAGTATGTTTTGGAATCGAATTTACCTACTAAGATTGCTTTCTTAATGTGAAAAATTATGCACAATGCTTTGCTGGTTGATGAGATGATGAAATGGTTATGAAAGGAAGGTGTTTTTATAGTTTCAAAATACTTTTGTTGTAGGCTTGTAGCCATCACAACTTGGAAAGCCTAAGCCACCTATTTGCTAATGGTGTTATGGACCCTAAAGTTTAGAGCTTATATTTAGCAATCTATTTTAACATTAGGGATTGGGTTAAACTTTGGTGGAGGGTAAGCAAGGCAACACTCAAGCCATGTTTGCTTTTCGGTAAGTTATTTATCTGTGTAAATGCAGTTATCTGGGTAAATTTTTCTTGGGAAGCACTTACCCAAGTAAGTACATTTACCCATGTTCTTTAATTTCTCATGTAGATAAGGTAATGACCATTTTAACCATAAAAATCCATTATTAAAAGGGGCATTTTTGTCCCATTCAAGTGTTGACAACTTCCCCCTATGTGGAAAAGTTTTTTACCCACTGGGTAAGTGATACCTAAGAAAATAAACTTTTCCTATTCCACACATAAATCTAAAAAAAGAAAAAGGAGATTCTTGATCAATGAGAATCAAAATCATATTGACCAACTTCCCCCTTTCAAAATAAAAAAAAAGAACACCCCCTCAGTTTCACCATATTCTCCATTTCACTCCCATCATTATTTGGGTCCTTTGGGCCAAGAGATGTAGAACTCAATATGAAGGCAAAGGCTCTTCCTCCTATATTTTGATTACAAAAAGTGGTTGCTTTGAGATCATTTCTGTTGAACCACAATGCTTTAGGACAAAGGTAAACCCAGAAATTTGATGTAGTTATGACCCATATGCCATATGGTCAAGTCATATAGCCATTCACTCCCTCTCCACTGGGAATCAAATCCCATTCCAGCTGATTCTAGTTCCTTCCTATCTCAACCAAACACTCTTCAAATTTTCATTTCGGACAAAAGTAATCCTATACTACTTTCAGATTTCAACACTTTTTTCCTGTTATTATCATTTTGTATCTTCAAGAAGAAACAGAACCAAGTTTTTAACTTTTCTATTTTTCCTTCTTTTCTTTTCATTTAGTTAAGAGTAAGGCAAAGAAGAGTTTTTTTTTTTTTTCACCACTAGATACTAGAAACAAATATTTAAAAGGATAGAATGTCTACCTTTATTGGTTCTAACCAATAAATGAGAGGACAAAATGGTGTGTTAGAATCTGAAATTAAAGCAAGGTTTTTAAAATTGGACCGAACAGCGAACCATTATTGCCCTATGGGGATTGATTCTCGGGATGAATGGCCTGACCATCCAGTTTAAACAGATGGCCTTTTCTAACTTAGAAAAA